AAATTCAGGAAATTCAGAAACTCAGAAATTCAGAAATTCAGAAACTCAGAAATTCAGAAATTCAGAAACTCAGAAATTCAGAAATTCAGAAATTCAGAAATTCAGAAATTCAGAAATTCAGAAATTCAGAAATTCAGAAATTCAGAAATTCAGAAATTCAGAAATTCAGAAATTCAGAAATTCAGAAATTCAGAAATTCAGAAATTCAGAAATTCAGAAATTCAGAAATTCAGAAATTCAGAAATTCAGAAATTCAGAAATTCAGAAATTCAGAAATTCAGAAATTCAGAAATTCAGAAATTCAAAAATTCAGAAATTCAGAAATTCAGAAATTCAGAAATTTAGAAAAAGATGCGGAGCTTAATTTACCAATGGTTGAAAATGTGAAAATGAACCAAAAAGGGGGTTTCCCAAAACATTTATTTTTCCAAATGACGCTATTTTTGTCAACATGTTTGTCTCCTTTCCCTCTGTCCCAAAAAACGAGAGACTCAGCAAACAATACAATCATTGGAGAGAAATAGACGACCAGAGATCTGGTAAACAAACAAATATATAGCATATGGGGTGGGGAAGAGAACATTTTCTGTTTTTTGAAAATTGCTATTTTGATTGGTCTACTGTGTTTTTTGATGTATTAATGACCAGTTGGCTAATGGGAATTTTGAAAAAAAAAAGTCTGAAAATAAATTCAAAAATCTGTAAAGTCGTAAATTTTGAAGTTTGGAAATTTTGAAATAGGCGCACCGAAGGCGCACCAGCTTGCTGTGATCAAACTCTTTATCAGTCAGTTGATAACTTTCTGACATATATCAAAAACGTGTCAACTGATAAAATATTAATGATATTATGGTAAACAATTTATCAGTTGACAACTTTTATATATCTTTCGAAGTAACCGAGATAAAATGACTCAAAGTTCAATCACTTTTTGTTCAAAAAGCGAAAATTCTCAAGTGGTTTTTTTAAAGCGTGGTGAAAAAATATGGAAATAAAAAAAATCCACGTAGTACAAAAAAAAAAAAAAAATATATATATAAATTCTAGATTTAAAAAAAAATACGTGCCCCCGATGGCCCATTGACCTCAGGAAGATTACTATAAAGGAAGAGGGAAGTGGAGGGAAGAATCAGTTCTCCCCTTCCCTGGAGCCTGGAGCCTGGAGCCTGGAGCCTGGAGCCTGGAGCCTGGAGCCTGGAGCCTGGAGCCTGGAGCCTGGAGCCTGGAGCCTGGAGCCTGGAGCCTGGAGCCTGGAGCCTGGAGCCTGGAGCCTGGAGCCTGGAGCCTGGAGCCTGGAGCCTGGAGCCTGGAGCCTGGAGCCTGGAGCCTGGAGCCTGGAGCCTGGAGCCTGGAGCCTGGAGCCTGGAGCCTGGAGCCTGGAGCCTGGAGCCTGGAGCCTGGAGCCTGGAGCCTGGAGCCTGGAGCCTGGAGCCTGGAGCCTGGAGCCTGGAGCCTGGAGCCTGGAGCCTGGAGCCTGGAGCCTGGAGCCTGGAGCCTGGAGCCTGGAGCCTGGAGCCTGGAGCCTGGAGCCTGGAGCCTGGAGCCTGGAGCCTGGAGCCTGGAGCCAGCGCATATACACATGGACATGGCCCATTTATGAACCATTCTGAGGTTTATAAGAATGTTCATCTACGAAGTTCAAGATAATGGATTCAAAATTTAAACAATGTCTGCCAATCAGACAATTCATGAAGGGAGCGTGTTCTGCATAATTCAGACTGAAAATAAGGAAACGGAGCTTCAGAAGTTATTGATATTGACTTTTTTGTTTCTGAAATTAGTATATTAATAAATAAATGAAGTTTCATCGCTGTATTTCTCTATCTGTCCGCACATTTTCAATAAAGAGTGAAGAGAGGAGCAACGAAGGAGTAAAAACTAGGGCAAGTCGCGCCGAAAGCGCACCAGCCAGGTGTTTGAGCGCCGGAGGCGCGGAACACAGGCTGGTCATGAAATAAAAAAATTCAAAACTGCAAGTGGAAAATTGCGATAAAAGGATTCTGAAAATTTTCGAACTTCTGATTTCTGAATTTCCCATTTTCTGAGATTCTGAGATTCTGAGATTCTGATTTTCTGAATTTCAGAATTTCAGAATTTCTGAATTTCTGAATTTCTGAATTTCTGAATTTCTGAATTTCTGAATTTCTGAATTTCTGAATTTCTGAATTTCTGAATTTCTGAATTTTGGAATTTCTGAATTTCTGAATTTCTGAATTTCTGAATTTCTGAATTTCCGAATTTCTGAATTTCTGAATTTCTGAATTTTTCAATTTCTGAGATTCTGAGATTCTGAGATTCTGATTTTCTGAATTTTGGAATTTCTGAATTTCAGAATTTCTGAAGTTCTAAACTTCTGAATTTCTAAACTTCTGAATTTCTGAATTTCTGAATTTCTGAATTTCTGAATTTCTGAATTTCTGAATTTCTGAATTTCTGATTTTCTGAATTTTGGAATTTCTGAATTTTGGAATTTCTGAATTTCTGAATTTCTGAATTATGGAATTTCTGAATTTCTGAATTTCTGAATTTCTGAATTTCTGAATTTCTGAATTTCTGAATTTCTAAATTTCTGAATTTCCGAATTTCTGAATTTCTGAATTTCTGAATTTCTGAATTTCTGAATTTCCGAATTTCTGAATTTCCGAATTTCTGAATGTTCAGGAATCCAGGAACTGCCAAATTTTACAAAATACCAAAAGAATTTCAAAACTCCATAAAAATTTTCTCAAAGTTTTCGATTTTTTAGGAATCCCGAAAAAATGTTGGGAATTCTAAAAATTCTGGACATTTGAAAGGTCCCAATATTTCACAAAATC